TTAGAGAAATAACTTTTTCTCATAGTACACATGGCAGAGAAAATTCAAAGAATAAACATTCATTCCAGTCCATACTATTAAAATTCCAGAGAAAATTAAAAATGACAAAGACACAAGGGAGGAAAGTGATGTGATGTGGTTAGAGAAAATTATAAATACCAGAGAAACTTAAGACAGAGGCAAGAGTGTAATTGACATTGCAGAGAAGGATACATATTCCAGAGAAATTTACAAAGCAGAGAAATTCATAGACAAAATGACAGAAACATGTTCAGGAATAATATCAAAATTCAGAGAAATAACTTTTTCTCAAAGTACACATGGCAAAGAAAATTCAAAGAAGAAACATTCATTCCAGTCCATAATATTAAAATTCCAGAGAAAATTAAAAATGACAAAGACACAAGGGAGGAAAGTGATGTGATGTGGTCAGAGAAAATTATAAATACCACCCTGTAACAGAGGCAAGAAAGCAATAGACATTGGAACCCTAATTAAAAATACCAGAGAAACTTAAGACATTGGAACCAAAAAATTCCAATTAAAAATACATATTCAAGAATACATATTACAGAAACACAAAATAAACATGCCAGAGAAAATTGAAAGAAGAAACGTACATTAATAAAAAATCAGAGAAATTCAAATGCCAGAGAAATTTACAGATAAAATCACACAAACATGTTGAAGAATAAGTTCAAAATACACAGAAATAACTTTTTCCAAATTTAGGTAGCTTTTTATTACGAAATTGAAACCCTAATTTATGAAAGGTTATTATAAAATGCTATTAACTGTGTTTCCAGAGAAAATCTAGTTGTATTGTAGAAAAACTGACCAGAGTTAGGATGATACTTGAATGACGAGCTGATATGGCGCGAGATGAAGATGCGACGTGACGAAGATGGACTGAGATGATGATGAGCAGTGAAAATGAAGCTTTAACCTAGGTCAAAGAAATTTGTGAGGAAGGAATGAGAATGATTTTTGGAGAAGATAACGAAGCTCTAATGTCGATGGTGCAGATGATGTTAAAACCCTAATTCTGCTGTTCTCCTGTTCGTGAAGATGCTCGATGTTTGAAATGTAACTCAGACGTCGGAATGAGTTTGTTTCTGTGTTGATTTTGGCAAGGGTATTTTGGTCCACAAAATAATTAAAAACGAAAAAAAAAAAAAAAAAAAAGAAAAAAGAAAGAAAAAAAGAAAACAGTTTTCAAAATTGGAAATTAGGGGCATTAGGGGCAAAGTTTTTAGGGCCACCAATCATTTTCCTAATTAATATTTGATGAATTGAGTATATAATTTGATATAGGTCAATAATAAAAGATGTAATAAACCCTAGAATTTATTATTTTATTTTTCAAAACCATGGAGGTCGGTGTAATTTCCGCTTTGCCCAAATGCTAATCATAATTTTGGAGGCAAAATGTTAATAATTTTGGAGGCAAGTGGTCTTAATTTTTGGAGGCAAGTGGTCTTAATTTTGGAAGGTGACGCCGGTTACGAGAGAGAGAGAGAGAGAGGGGGAGAGTAGGGGGGCCTCCGACTCTGTAGAATCGTAGCCCACTTTTTCCGGCCGTTTTCTCATAAATAGAGGAGCCTTTCTCCACTTTCTCTCTCTAGACGTCGGAGCTCAGACACATGATCCTGCTCTAGCATCTCATCTCTTTCGAGCTTTCGGTGACTGCGACAAAATGACCAACATCACTTCTGTCGAATTGAATTATCTCGTCTTTCGTTACCTACAAGAATCTGGTCTCTCTCTCTCTCTCTCTCTCTCTGTTGTATATTTAGGGTTTATGTGGAATTTTAATATTCGTCGTATTTGCGGCAATTAGGGTATCTGAGTTTGCGTTTTGTGCGTTTTTGGTTTAGGGTTTGGTTGAGGATATGGAAATTTAACATATTGGGAATAAATTCATGAAGTAAGTGCGTGTAGATCTGTGGAGATTTATGGCCTTTAGTGTTGATGACAACTTAGTTTACCGTAGATTGTGGAAGAAACTGGTAGGGTTTGCTTCTTCTAACTGCGAATATTCAAGATTCCAATTTTATTTTATTTTTTTTTATTAATAAGAATGCTGAGGGCGTTTCTGCAGCAGAGGTTTGGAAGGATTATTAGTAATTTTGTATAGCAAATTCACCTCGAGGGAAGGTGTTTCCATTTGGGTGATGTTGTGGAATTTGTTGAGGATATCTCCAAATGGACTTTTTTTTTGGTTTAAAAAAAAAGAAAAGAAATTTCATATGAAGGCACTGCGATTCTTGTGAGTTTTGGTGGGGGGTTGTTCTTTTAGTAACTTCCGTAGTCTTTTGGCTAGAAGGTTAGCTTCCTTAGAAACAGCAATGAAAGAGAGATCCGGCTGTTTAGCTCTATCCTTAAGACTTTTGACAATGTGTACTTGTCCATTTGACTCTTGTATATTTATTATGTTTACTTTAATTCACGGTAGGCTATGAAGCACCGGTACTCCTAAAATGTTGCCGTACAAGTACCGGGTACGTACTTGGTACGGGTACGTGTACCGGTATGGCTGCACGCGTATCGGGTACGGCCAAAAGGGGTCTGGTACGTCTGGTACATTTGGGTACGGCATGGGTGCGGAGGGGGTACGCCATGGGTGCGGAGGGGGCAAAAAATACTCAAAAACTACATGTATACATGTATACATACCATAAACATACCATAAACACATCTATAGAGGGAATCGAGAGAGAGACAGAGGAGATGGAAGAGATCGAACCTGATAGTGGAGAGAGGCGTCGCCTTTGTGTGCTAGGGCAATGAAGGATTTTAGGGTTTTCTCTTCGATCGATCGATCGATCAATCGTCTCTCTCTTTGACCGATCTTCTGCTCACTGTTGATCAATCGTCTTCGTCTCTCTCCTTTCTCTCTCTCTCCGTCTCTCGATCGCCTCTGTTCTCTTGTTCTCTCTCTTCGTCTCTCGATCGCCTCTGCTCCTCTTCGCCTCTGCTCTCTCGCCTCCTCTCAGATATAGTATAAGACATATGATACATATAATATAATATAAATAATATAAGATATATAATATAATATATATAATATAAGATATAATATATAATATAAGATATATAATATAAGATATATAATATAATTAGTGATACATATAATATATAATAATATAATAAATTTTTATATATAATGTAATTGATCATGTATAATATATAATATAATTGATCATATATAATATATATAATAAATTTTATAAATTATAATTTTTATCATATATAATAAAAATATATATATTTATTGGCATACCGCAGCCGTACCCGTATCATACTTTTTTGAATTTTGACGTATCGACGTACCCGCACTCGTACCCGTACCGTACTCGTACCCGTACCTGTGCTTTATAGACGGTAGGTTTACTATTGAAATGAGCCCTGTTTGCTTCTAAAAGATTTAGTTAGACAAACCAACCTTTTACTTAATAGTTAATAGTTTGAGGATCCAAGGAGGCAAGAGAGGAAATTTTTGGATGGCTGTACGTTAAATTTTCCTTCTAAATTCTAGGGGAAGAGTAGCATTTGATGTTTGATGTGTTTTTTATTATACACATTTGCAGGTTTTACACATTCAGCTTTTGCTTTGGGATATGAGGCAGGTATTAACAAATGCCCTATTGATGGAAATTTAGTTCCACCTGGAGCTCTTATCACATTTGTGCAGAAAGGACTTCAGTATCTAGAGATGGAAGCAAACTTGAGTAATGTTGCCATACTTCATTCTGTTGCATAACTATAATCATATCTACTTCCAATCAGTTTATGTTATTCTATTTTATTTTTAAATACTTTGTGTACTTATGTTTGTCAATTCTTATTTCAAGCTTGCCAGAGCGAGACAGATATGGATGAAGATTTTTCATTTTTACAACCTTTGGATCTCATTACAAAGGATGTCTATGCTCTGCAACAAATGATAAAGGACAAAAAGAAAAGTCAACAGAAGGATATGGATAAAGAATTTGACAGGGAACATGATGAAGGTGAACGTAAGCATGTAAGAGAGAGGGAAAAGCATGATAGGGAGAAAGAACGAGAAAAGGACAAAGAGAGAACAGAGAAGGATAAGGAGAAAAAGAAGCAGCATGAAGATCACACTTTGAGAGAAATGGTTACAGATCAAGAAGATAAGGTTGATGTAATAAAACAAGAAGAGAATGGAATTTCTGGAGGTAAATCTATTTAGTTATTTTCACCTTTGCTTTTCAACTCTTTTTTTTTTTAGTATATAGTTGACATTTTGATGAATGCTTTGCATTTAAAGTAAGAAGGGTACTAGAGTACACATCTTTCTAAAGGCTGTGGGCCACTACCAACCAATATTGTCCTGGGACACTTCAGTTTGGTAACAATTGTTTTTCATATCATGGTTTTGAAAACCAAACTGGACTGACTAGTCCAATTGGTTGAACTGGCAATCGGGCTTGGTTCTAGTCCTGTCAACCCATCTAAACCGTTTTAGATTAATAACCACCTTATTTTGGGTAAACCATTTGAACTGGTGGTTGGACCGGTAGCCTGTCCAAACTGGATCCAATTCAACTGGACCAGATATCAAGGCGCAGCCTGCTTAAACTATGTTGGGGAAGGCGTTTGAACCCATAACCAATCATAGGATGACAACATCTGCTACAACTGATCAGCGCGTTTGCAAACTTTTAAGTCGTATATTTTATTTATTCAATGCTTGTTGAAACTAGTTTCTGCAAGAAACCAATTAAAAATAATTTTAAGTAAATATATTTGTTTAAATATAAACGAGACATCAAATTAATTTTGAGGAAATTTTAGGTTTTTGTAAGTAATTGTTTTTGTAATTTTAATACCTATATTTATACATATATATATAAATTTTAACATATATATGTCATAATTATGATGTCATGATTCAATTTTGGTTGACCCGACGGTTGAACTAGTGATCCTTAACCTAATTCCTTTTATTGTTTGGTCAATGGTCCAGGTTTCAAAACGTTGTTCCAGTTTGTTAATGTGTTGCTGTTTGTGCTTAACCACTATGTTTTAGGTTCAATTATTCACATTGCTAATGGAACGAGAGAGGCTATGAATCTTTAGAGATCATTAGATGAGATAACAACTTTAGAAGCACAAATATGGGCCTGGAAATGGACACAAATACGATATGGATACATTCATTTTGTCAAACCAATGAGAGTTAGCCACTTGTTCGTAGTTGAACTAGCCTTTTTCCATCACCTTCTATGAGGGAGACTTCCGTGCAACGTTGATCATCATCTTCATTCCTCGGCTCTCTCCATTCCACTGATAAGGGTTTCTCTCTACCGCCTTCCTCTCTTTTGCTAAGGTTGCATTAATTTCTGTCCTATGCTTCTGGCGAATCATTAAGTGTCCATTATCTTCTTAGAAGGCCATGAGTGACCACCTCACTAGCCATTACCCACTATAACCATATCTCCGAATGGTTATTTGCTTTGCTTCTCTTGATGTTCCAAGGAACTAAAGGCGTCCCTTGGATGTTCCTTGTTATAAATGTGCCTTGCCTTTTACTAATAAGGAGTGTTTCCATTGATTCATTTCGGGAAAAGATAGGAATATACATATTGATACCATGCAAGACTGATAAAAAGAAATTTTTGAATGAAAGAATCTAACACTTTCTAGAGGTCCAATCCATGCTAGTTTTGCTTTGGGAGGAACTCCAATGTTTGTTATTCACTGAAGACATCAATGGTTGAGCTTTTTTTTAGGGTTTTCAGTTGATAGGATCATTTTAAATAACCGGAAGGTAATGCTTCATGTGTCCTCTAGTTGGAACTTGGAAATTGCTGCAGTTGGTTACATTTTTTAAGCAACTACAAAGATGAAGACTATTACTTGGTCATCTATTTATGCACTCGGTTTAGCTTATCACTATTTGGTTGTTTACTGTTTGAATCTAGTATATTTATATATATATCATTCTGTACTTTAAGAGCTTGGTTTTGAGAACTCCATCCTCGGTCATTAATTTGAGATTTGTATGAACATGTTTCAAAAATTATACTCTCTCTCTCTCTCTCTCTCTCTGAGTCTATTTACATCTTCCACTTAAATGTAAATTCTTCTAGTTCTTCATATTTTTAATGATAGGGTCCGAGCCAATGGATATCTCTACCGCTTCAACTTCTCGAGCTTGTGAAATTCCTAGCTCTGATGTGATCATTCTAGAAGGACATACTTCTGAGGTTTGGGCATGTTCATCCATTTGTTTTAGTTCATTTTTCTGTGTACTCTGCAGTAATATATGCCCATTTCCCATTCTTCCTTGTAGGTTTGTGCTTGTGCATGGAGTCCAGCAGGTTCACTTCTTGCATCAGGGTTAGTTCTAATGAGAAACGATTTGATAGGGATGGTGTCTGTTTGTGTCTACATCTCCGTGTTATAAAGTATTTTTTTTGTGTCCATTTTGGCCACTTGTTTGGAATATATTTTTTAATTCCACAATTGCAATCATTAGATTTAGATGTTTCTGCTAGATAAACTAGAGTCTTTGAACTCGTGGACCAGAATAATGGGATTTTTTGGAGAGTAAAATAATTGCAGAAACATTTGTATTTATGACATCATTGTCCTACTACCAATCTTCGTAATTGTTTATTACTATGGTGCTGCCGGCATATCTACGATGATGATGGTCTGTCATTAATTTTTTGTTTGAACTTCACACTTTTTTTGTTTGCTTATAGGTCTGGAGATTCAACAGCTCGGATATGGACAATTGCGGAAGGGGCCAGTAGATCTAGTTTGCAAAATGGACCTTCGAATGTGCTGGTGCTGAAGCATGTAAAGGGCAAAACAAATGAGAAAAGCAAAGATGTGACAACTCTTGATTGGAATGTGGGTGTTGCGACTATATTTTACATTCTTGATGTCTTTTCTAGATATTCTTCATCTTATTATCCTACCTTGCATTTAGCGATTCTATCAAATTTGTTTCAAGATTTTGTGAATGTTATGGATGTTGCTTTTCTATATTCTTCTTAGTAGAGATTAGATCAAGTAATTTGTTTTTCCCTCCCTTATCATCTCCCCCTACCGAAGCTTGCACAACACAGAACTACTGGAGCTCTACCTCATTCTACAACACAACCCTCCACAAACCCCTCACCCTTTTGAACAATGAAACCTAATCATCGATCTCTCCTAACGCCTCAATGAGGTCAACAATCTACGATGATGACTGCATGCTCCACCATACCTCACCGGAGTTTAATCAAGGAGTTTAGATGAAGGTGTACTCTAACCAAGGGCCATGATAAATCTGATTTATTTTAACCCCTGAACTCCTCTATACTAGAATGGTAACTTTTGCTATTAACCAAACTAACTAATTGCCTTAGTCTTGACTACTTCGGAGTTGTGATATATATGATAACAATGATAATATGACAATATAGTACTCAGGGAAATAAATTGATGCTATTGATAAAGTATATATTTTTTTTGCATTTAAAAAAATGCAAATTGTGAATATGTACTGTAGTATGCACTCAAATGAGGTAGTCTTTGGATGTCATTAATGGTTCCTTTTGCTCTTTCTTAGGTTGTCAGTTTGTTTTTCATAAATACTTGATTATATTTGTCTCTTTTTTTTTTTTTGGTAGGGAGACGGGACATTGCTTGCAACGGGCTCGTACGATGGGCAAGCTAGAATTTGGAGTTCTAATGGTAAAGCCATTTTAGCTGGTTTATTTTACAATCTTTTCATCCCCTGATTTAAAGCCTTGAGCAAATTGTAAAAGATGCAATATCTATATGTTGTTTGCATCAAGCCATTGTCGTAGCCCTTAATGTGAGAAGACTTGACAAATGAGAACAGGAGATAACAAATAGTGAACATTTTTGTTATTTAGGTTTGATTATAAGGATAGTAAGGTTTAAGATGATATGAGTAGATTGGCGCAAGTGGAGGAGTGTCTGACATTTTATGTGATTGACAAATACCAACAAAATTGAAAAGAAAAATTTATAGAATAACTGTAAGACTAGGGATGTTCTACGGGACAAAGTGTTGGGCAACTAAGAACATCTGTATAAAATGAGTGTAGATAAGATTAGAATGTTTAAATGGATGTGTGGTAAGACTAGAAAAGATAGAATTAGAAGTGAATATATGCATGAAATGGTAGGAGTCAATAGATAAATTAAGAGAGAACACGTAAAGGTGATTTGGTCATGTACAATGAAGACCTATAGATGTAACAATAAGGAAAAGTGATAGGATCACCATAAATGGAGATGCTATGGGGAGGGGAAGACCTAGGTTGACTTGGGATGAGGTAGTGAAAAATGATAGGAATTTATTTAATTTAACTGAGCATATAACCCATGATAGAGCTGAATGGAGAAAAAAGATTTATGTAACTGACTCCATTTGGTTGGGACGCAAGGCTTAATTTGGTTTGGTTTGGGTTGGTTGGTATGCATATGAGATGCTCATTTTCATTTGTAATTCTTGCCTTATCCTATTGACTGAAATCACAAATTTGTAATGTAACCTCTATACTGGTCTTTACTTTTGAGAACTTTCACATTTTTGTAATGGTTTGTATCTGTCCAGGTGAACTAAAGAGTATTTTAAGCAAACACAAGGGACCTGTATTCTCTTTAAAGTGGAACAAAAAGGGGGATTATATTCTCACTGGAAGCTGTGACAAAACAGCTATTGTGTGGGATGTCAAGGCCGAGGAATGCAAACAACATTTTGAATTTCATTCAGGTGCTAGATTGTTGACCAAATGTTTCTTTGTTAAGAAATCATCTATGGTTGGACTAAACACTCTACACCTCATTTACAGGCCCAACACTTGATGTTGATTGGCGAAACAATGTTTCATTTGCAACAAGCTCCACAGATTCTACGATTTATGTTTGCAAGGTTGGAGAGAAACTCCCCGTCAAAACTTTTTCTGGGCATCAGGTTTGTACTTGCAATGCTGGTCATTACTGCAAATCAAATAAACTGGTCTTTGTTCTCAACATGCTACTCAAACTACAAATCTCTCCTGATGTGAACTAATGGATGAGTTGTGAATATTGAAAAAGGTCCTAGATGGGGGGTTGGGGTTGGGGTTGACTATGATCAACCTTTATTTAAATCAACTTCTAATCCAATTTTAAACCTTCTAGGATTTAAAGCTTAGTTTTGCCTCAAGTTCAGGATCTCCTACCCCTGTTGCATTGCTGGTCAACCAGCTTGATATCTGGTCGACCAACCTGATTCTTAGTGAACCAGGTTTGTAGATTGCCCAAATTCTCTAGTTGATAATGATGTCTTAACATTACTCAATAGTTTAATTGATTGTTCCTTACAATGTTAATCTAACTTATCAAATCAAAACATGACAATCAACCGACTATTCATCACATACATTCGAAACATATATGATAGGTTTTCTAGACTTAATCCAAAACCAGCCACCGCCAAATTCACAAACCTCCTACACTCAAACTAAGAAGCTCACCAAAAGCTTCTTAGATTGTCTCTATATGAAGTATAGGTGTGTGTTAGGTGGAATAGTGTATACTGTACACAAACAAGAATGTATGACATTGGGATGAATAAATATACCTTCAAGATGAGAACTTCCAAGTGTCCCAAGGAGCAAGCTCTCCACCGATGGTGTAATTGAAGGTTTCGCAAGCTTACACTCACTCACTTAAGGTGGAAAACCGTGAAGAGATATGGTCTAGACTCCACACAAACAAGAATGTTTAAGGTGGAATAGTGTATGCTGTACACAAACTAGAATTTATAACATTAGGATGAGTAAATAAACCTTCAAGATGTGAACCTCCATCATGTGCCCCAAGGAGCAAGCTCTCCACCGATGGCGTAATGAAGATTTCTCAAGTTTGTACTCACTCACCTAATTGTGAAGAGATATGGTCTAGACTCTAGAATGTATAAAGATCCTTTAGCTCTCAAATAGCTTGTCTCTCATCAAGTATACCAAGTGGGGGTCATTTGGTATTTATTGTTTTCCCATTTAACGGCTAGCATAACGGTTGGTTTCTTAAAATTGCTGAAAATGGGCTGCCGCATAGTGAGCCTTGGTCTGCCTGTACCTTTTGTTGGCCCATGTGTGGGTTAGGTATATACATATACCCTAAGTTGGAGCCTATCTGGTCAAGCACCCTATGTGATTGCTTGCCAGTGACCTAAAGTACCTTAGTTGACCAACCTCTAAAGCTAGTCAGCGAAGATGACCTAATAATTTCAATCTCCATTCTTCAAGGTCTTCTCAGTTCTAGTGGTAACGATGGTCTCCCATAGTGTCTTTCATGCTGATGAAGCTCTCCCATGGGCTCTTTAGATTCCAAGGCTCCAGCGATTTATCCAATGGGCTGTTTAGATTTATCTAATGCCATGAAGTTTCCAACATAATGCTAATCCTAGCACTAGCAAGTATTCGTGACCTTGTATTGTTAGTCAAAATTGCATTGCTATATCAGCTAGCCTGGCACTCAGTTTAATTAAGTGATGGATTCCCAACTCAAAAAGCCTTAATATCATGCAGTGTTGCACTCAGGTTAGTTAAGTTGAGGATTCTCAACATTGATCTCAACTACTTAGGGTTAGCTACCCAGCTATATTGTCAGTGAAACAGAGAATATTTTACCCATTGTTTTGCTTAAATTATTGTTTGTGTTTCCAAATTGGCTGTAGTGGTGGTAGAAGGATAAAATCTGAATTGATTTCAAGCATTATATCTTATATGAAAAACAAGATGTTGATACTTTACAAGAAGTTTTATTTTGTGATACTTATAGTTGATCATTGGCCTTCATTTAATTTCAGGGCGAAGTTAACTGTGTCAAATGGGACCCTACAGGTTCATTGCTGGCCTCTTGCTCTGATGACATTACTGCAAAGGTGATTGATATTATCCTTTTTCTTAATGTTTTTCTTTTTCTTGAAGAGCCATGACATCCTTGCTAATGCCTACTTCACTTGATATGTTTGCTCATCAGTAATATCCTGTTCTACTTTATTGATTTTACGTTGTATAAGTTCTTAGCCAATCCGGCTTGTATATTCATTTCTTTTTCATTGTTGTTTCTTTGCTTTCTAGAAGCAGTAAGTCCTATGGTTTTTAACTGATTTGAAATAATGATGCAGATATGGAGTATCAATCAGGACAAATATGTTCATAATTTAAGGGACCATGCTAAGGTATGGCTGAGCTCTCCTGCCACCCCATATTGATTTATTTACCTACTTAATTTTGGTGGTGTTACAAATGTAAATTATATTTCAGGAGATATATACTATTAGATGGAGTCCCACTGGACCTGGCACTAACAACCCTAACCGGCAGTTACTCTTGGCAAGGTATGCTGCGTCCTAAAAGTTATTACAGTTGCTTATCTTATTTATTTGATTTTTTTTTCATTCCCCTCCCTAATATCCTCCTACACAACATTTATTCTTGAAGTTGTACTTTTAACATCATTTTTTTTTATTATTAAGTTGTAGTTTGTCATCTTATGATTAATGAAATGGTCTTTATCCTCTTAGACAGGCACAACCCTTGTACAATCAAGAAAAACTAGAAAAGAAAATACGAAAAACATGTAGGTACAAAGGATAAAACCGACACCCATTTCAAGAAACCAATCTTATTTATTAAAAAAGAATTCAGCCTTGCACCAATTTCACAATAGGTGTCTTATCAGCTAATAACATTGATTTCCACTTTTCTCTCCCAGCTTTACCATTAGCTACAACCACACTTCCATTATCATCATTGTGATTGTTTGTTTCATTATTTCATGATGTGTACAGTTCTTGTATTGGATTAAGGAAAATTTTATGGGCTTCTAATGATTGCTCCAGTTTTTATTTTATAATCTCTGTATTGATTATTTATTTTGCTTCCTTGGCCATTTGGCGGAACAATTGGTTTTTCAATTCAGTATTGAGCCACTCCTGTGTTGGGGCTAAGAGAGGACTTGTATTGACAAAATGTTATTATGGTCTAAATGCTTACTTTTGAGAACACTATTTGCCTTGTCTTGTAATGATTTTGGCCTTTGGCCTTTTCTACAGTGCATCATTTGACTCAACAGTGAAGCTATGGGATGTTGAGCTAGGAAGACTTATTTGCAGCTTGAATGGCCACAGGTACCGGATTTTATATGGATTTTTCGTGTTTTATGTTATAGAAAGAGTGCAACAATGTCCAATAAGATCCATGATTAACAAATTGGTGTCTTGGTCACATTCATGGTGGTTGAATAAGCCAATGTTCTGGTTTCAACTGGAGTAGATAGCAATATTCACATGATTGTTAATTTGGTTGTGATGAGATTAGAGTCTCTAACTTCTATGTTCTGAATTGTAAGGAAATTCATCTTGCATTATTGTTTTATTTTTTTTCTTATTGGTCATTATAGTGTAATGAGACATACTAAAATATCGTTACTGGTGTAATATTTTTTTGTAGTCTTAATTCAGGCTAAAATGAGCAGAATTTGTTTATTTGAAGTATAGATTCTTCTTTTTTGGCTCAAATTTGAAGTATAGCCTTTAGAGTTTTTTGTAATGCCAAATTGCCATTACTAGTGACGAAATCTGATAATGCCAATATGACAGAAATCCAATAATGCCCTATTGGAACGACGAAACATCCCAAGCCAACTGATGCTTTTGGTTTGAACATTTTGAATTCAATTGAACTGTGCATTCAATATTTAATTTGTTTGTAGGTTCTGTAATTTTTGTTGAAAGTCATTTATCCAAAATCCTATGAGATTTACAGTGATTGTTTATGAATAATGAATTCCATGTTTTAATTCAAAGGTTCATACCTTAAGCAGTGGTCAATGTGACTATTTCTACTTGTGGTTGAACATTCTTTATGTTACTTCTCTCACACGCGCGCGCGCACACACACTGCTGTTTGAAGGAAATAATAACTATCATTCTGTACTTATGTGTATTTCAATTCAATTGCCAGGGATCCTGTGTACTCCGTCGCTTTTAGCCCTAATGGTGAGTATTTAGCAAGTGGATCTCTGGATAGATCATTGCACATTTGGTCTTTAAAAGAAGGCAAGATCGCGAAAACCTATACTGGCAATGGGGGTATATTTGAAGTCAGCTGGAATAAGGAAGGTGACAAGATAGCTGCTTGTTTTGCTGACAACACGGTTTGTGTCTTGGATTTTAGAATGTAGGTAGGGGCTTAGAAATGTCTTTGCCACATTGGAGCTGGGGGTTACTCTTTTTGTGCTGTTCCATCAAACCAATTACTTGATCTTAGGAATCCAGCATTAGAGAGAGAGAGAGAGAGAGAGAGATTAATGGGTAGGTAATTAGTTATCTTGGGAGCCTTGCATTTTCACTGTGAATGAAGGCATTAGCTGCTAATTTGGTTAATGTTGTAACATTGTAGTTTGTTGTTCTAACTTAAATGATAGTCAAGCTGCTGTTTTGAAGGAGTTAGTTTTTTTTGTTTTTTTTTTGGGAGGAAATTGAAGGAGTTAGTTGGGTAGTTAATTATGTACAGATACTTGAAAGGCACTTAAATGACTCTTTGTTGATTACATTCATATTCATATTCATATTTATTAATGAATGTGTCTGTCTTTCTTTCTTTTTGTCCTAACAATTGATTTTTATTTTTCCTACACAAATTCATGTTTCAAGTATAACCTTAAGATGGCTGCTTTGGTAATTATTATTGTTGTTGTTATAGTAGTAATCTGTCTTTGGAAGTTTGATATCTTACTACTGTTTAGTTTTTGTTTAAGGATTGAAAATATAATTTATATATCTAGCTTATTCTTATGGGTACGAGGAAGGAAGTCGCTAAGTACTGGAGCAGGTAAGCAGGTGAATTCGTAACGGATGACAAATGGTTACAAATAAGTATTAATGAATCTTTTTTTTTTTTTGTTTTTGGTCTTTCCTCACCTTTGGCACAACTTATACTCCCAACTGAGCATATGTGATGGTTGGAGAGGTGTCACTAACCTTCAACTCATTGGCACTCCATCTTTTTAAATATACTAAGGCCAAGTTTGGAAAGACTAAGGTCAAGTTTGGGGAACGTAAGAAAAGTAAAAAAGCTACTCAAAAAGTTAAAAAGTTAACACTATTCATCAAAAGTCAACAATTACGGTTGTACAAATTCCAATTTTAATTTTCCTCTACAAACTAATTTTTACAATTTTTTATTATACATTTTTTTATGAAAAGTCAAAAACTTAATTCAAGTATCCATATTTTTTCTCTCAACTTTTTAGTCTAAAAAGACAAAAAGTACACTTATTTAAGACATCCCAAACAACTCCTGAATAAGTGTACTTTTTGACTTTTCTTGTATTATGTGTAGAAAAAGTAGAGGTGAGATGCTGATTGATGTGACCTAAAAAAGATAAAAAGATAAAATAAGTGTACTTTTTTAGTTTAGCCAAACTTGGCCTAAGTGTGTTTTGTGTGCATCACAATCCTTTTGTAGAATCCGTATTAAAAGAACTTTAATTTGATTTTGAGGTGGCATGTATTTTCTATTCAAGAAGGAATTTACTTTTTTAATTATTAATTCATTTTTTATCAATAATCTATCATCTTACTCTTGGTCACATACTCCTGCATATTTTTGTATGTATTTATTTAAAATATTAAACATATAAAATAACAGATAAAGATTTTATCATTTCTTTCATTACATTTTTGAATTATACACAATATATTAATATAAATCAATACAAAACATAGAAAATAATAGATAAAGATTTTATCATTTCGTTCAATACATTTTTGAATTATACACAAAATATTAATGTTTATGTTATTTGAAATATATATATGTATATATATATATTTTTTTTTTCAATTTTTATGCATGACAGGGTTGAATAATAGTACAAATCAATTATAAATTTTACATTGCATATGAAATACACTCCTTAAAGTGTTTTCTCCAAGTAATTATATGGTCTTGTTTAGTGCTATTTATAACCCCATTTTTTTTTACAATTTTTTATTTTGAGATTATATATTAGACTATTAAACTTTCTCTTATAGTTTATAAGACAAAAATAATTTTAAAAAAATAAATAAAAAATGTTGATTACCTTTGGGTTGAAATATTTTAAAATTTTATTTTCTGATTATTATCTTTTTGTAAAAGAAAAAGCACACCAAACTGATAATTTTTTTGGGTTAAAATATTTACAATACATTAGTTGTAAGCTCATCTAATGATAAGAAATTATTTATTTATATGATTAAAAAAAGTAATAATAATAATAATAATAATAATAAATAAATAAATAAATAAATAAATGGGAAATTTTTTTAAGGTCTTTCATATTAAGATTTTATAAGATAAAGGAACCTACAATAGTTTCATAATAGTTAAAATTCTTTAACATTTGTACGGAGAAAATTCAACTTAGAGAAATTTTATCCAGCTCAGTAAAATTTTGCCTAATTTAGAAAAATTTCAATTTTCATAAAGAAATTATTCTGAATCAAATTTTATCTGTGAAAATAATAAGAGATCTTAATTAATTAAAAAAAAAACATTTTAAACCTCTCCCACTGCACAAATTACACAACAGTAGTAGTATAGTTAGGCATGCGAGCGAAGCGTGGTGTTCTGGAGCAACGTATACGTATGTATGATGTTTTTACGTGCACCTGGAATTGCTGAACCTTGCTTGCTGGGCATTTGCTCCATAACCCTCTCTCTCTCTCTCTCTCTCTCTCTGTGTCATCGCGTACTCTGACGCAGCTTTCCATCATCACTCTCTTCTCTTCATAGACTACCATTCCTCATCGTCACGACTCTCATTGAATTCCGATAAACTCTCCAATTCACTCGCCAAGAACCGCTCGTAATCGATTGGTTTGGAACCAGAAAAAACAGGGATCGATCCCCAAAAACCATGCAATCCAACGCGGACCGCTTCGTCTAGGTTTCCCCTCTCGGAATTTCTAGTCCTGAATCGGTTCCAGATTCGGCTTCCAAAACCCTTGCAATTTCTTCAGATATATATGCTTTTTAACTCTCTGTAATACAGTTTTTATTTATTTTTCTTTTTCTAATACTGTTTCAGTGAGTTAATGTGTTGATGTTTGTAGTTAAGCCACTCTGTTTTAGGTTCAATTATTTTTCACATTGCTAATAGGAGGATCTCTTCAGTTATCAAAATTTTTGAGAGACGAGTGAGGCTATGAATCCTGTAGTGACAGATTGATTCTCATTTGTGAAACAAACAAAATCAAAATTCATATTTGAAGATATATGGGGGAAAAAAGTGCTGATTGTGCTGAAGCTAATCATATATCAGGACAATGTTCCAAGGAACTAAATGCTCTTCAATAATATGGAGTAAATTAATTCCATTGATTCATTCTGGAAGAGGATTGGAAATATTGATATTGATACAGCCCTAGACTATTAAAAAAATAAAATAAAATTGAATGAAACATAATTTTGTTTTGGGAAGAACCCCAATGTAGGTTATTCACTTAGGTGGAGGTCATTTTCAAACAGGCTAATTGTGAATTGATCGCTAACCATCCACTTTTGTTCCTAATAATACCATTGCTGTTTTTCCATAATAAATTTACTCTTAACCAAGAAGAATGCGAACTCTATGCTTGCTTCCTCCTTTTTGTAGAGGCTGAAGAACCAAAAAACTGTCAATTATTTGTTGGAGGCATTCTGTTCAAGTCTTGTAAAAAATCTGTTGTAAGCATTCTATTGAAGCACTATGTCATGAAGCAGTAAATTATTTACTGACAACTCCGTTATTTTTGCTACAAAATTCTGTGTTCTTTCTTCTAGGATAACTGTGGCACGGTTAGGAACATGCTTTAGATGAATGGCCCTCTTTTGTCCTTAAAGGATTTGTCCTCTTTTGTCCTTAAAGGATTTGTTATGATGTGTTGTGGAACTCTGACTTTTGTCCTTGCCCATACAAAATGTAGCCACATGCATAAAGAAACTCACCACTGAAGACGTCAATGGTTAACCATTTTTTGTGTTTTTCTGTTGATATGATCATTTTACATAACTGGAAAGGTATTGCCTCATGTGTTAGCCATTTTTTTGTGTTTTTCTGTTGATATGATCATTTTACATAACTGGAAAGGTATTGCCTCATGTGTCCTCTGATTGGAAATTGTTGCTACTGTAAAAAAAAATTTGGGCAAGTATCAAGCCTAGGACTATTGGTTGGTCATTTATCAATGCACTTGGTTCAGCATATCACTAAATGGTTGTTTTCTGTTAGAATGTATAATATATACTATTCTTTACTTCAACAACTTGGTTTTGAGAATTTCATATTGAGTCATTAAATTTGTATAAATACGTTTCAAAAATTAACTTCTCTCTCACTCTCTGAGTCTATTTACATGTGCCATTCAAATATAAATCTGCAAGTTCTTCCTATTTTTGCTGGTAGGACCTGAGCAAATGGATATCTCTACCATCATAACTTCTCAAGTTTGTGGAATTCCTAGTTCTGATGTGATCACTCTGGAAGGACATACTTCTGAGGTTGGAGCATGTTCATCAATTTGTTTTAGTTCATTTTTCTGTTTAGTCCACAGTAATGTGCCCATTTCCCATTCTTCCTTGTAGGTTTTTACTTGTGCATGGAGTCCAGCTGGTTCACTTCTTGCATCAGGGTGAGTTCTTTTCTGTTGAATGAGAAATCATTTGATAGGGATGGTGTTTGTTTCTGTCTGTAAGTCCCAACTATAAATTATTCTTATTTTGTTCATTATGGCCATTTGTTTGGAATGTTTTGTCTCCTTGATTGCAATTATTAGATGTTTCTACAAGGTAAACTAAAGGTTCAGAAGTTTTGACCAGAATAATAGGTTTTTGGAGAGAGAAATAATTGTAAAAACATTATTTTTGTTCATCTTTGATTACTTAGGAAACTATTGGATTGATGGGGCATTAGCGGATGCTTATGCAAAACAAATAATCAACTATGTGGGAGCTCTCATTTTGAAAATTATTGTTCTCTCGTAACAGTTCTGCTGCAATGAGACGGTTGGTCCATGCAATTGGTTTTCCAATTGAAGGAGGGTTTGGAGCTTTCAAATCAAAGCCAGAAGTTAAAATTCACATTTTGCTAAATGAAACTTCTATTGGTTGTTATTAACTGTCATATGTTCCCACCAACCTTGCAGTAATCTTTATGTTTAATTCAAGTACTGTACGTATTATATTTCTGCGGATTTCCTTTTTTTTTTTTTCATTATTAAATTTTTTTGAGATGTATATCATTATGTTTTATCATTTCTGCTTCTAATTTATATATTTTTTGCTAGGTGGTTAGTATTGTATTAGCATAAAAATATGGTGAAGATTTAAGCCTAGCAAGTTGGTATTAATTATTTGCTATGCATATGATGAATTATCACATGATGCGTGTTTACAAGATTCCATATGAAAGTATTTATGACATTATTATCGCCATCTAGGAGTAGTCTTCTTTCTAATGGTTTATTACTATGGTGCTGCCGGCATAGCAAGGTTGTGAAAGAGCAATCTTTATAATGGTTTATTTCTTACTATGTTGCGGCTGGCAAAGGAAGGTTGTGAAGGTGTGTCATTTATTTTTGTTTTAACTTCACACTGTTGTGTTTGCTTCTAGGTCTGCAGATGCAACAGCTCGGATTTGGACAGTTGTGGATTGGACCAGTAGATCTAGTTTACAAAATGGATCTTCAAAGGTGCTGGTGCTGAATCATGTAAAGGGCAAAAAAAAAGGGAAAAGCAACGATGTCACAACTGTTGATTGGAATGTGGGTGCTGCTACTGTATTTTATGTTCTTGATGAATTTTCTAGATATTCTTCATGTAATTATCCTACATTGAGTTTAGCGATTATACGAATGGTTTTAGTGAATGTTATGGATATTTCTTCTTCTTTTTCTTGGCGAAGAGAGAAGATCAATTGACTTGTTTCTTCCTTCCTTATCAACCCTTATGGTTTATATGAAAATTATGTGGAAATGAAATTTAGTAGTGTGTGACAGGTCCTGTCTCCTGTTGCAATGAGATGTCAACCAAGACTCTAAATAAATCAAAAACTTTTATAACATCGCGCCCCTCCTTTTCCTTCCTCCACCTCCACCCTTTAACTCTACCATCAAAATTGATGGTGCTAACCAAATTCTATAATTCCACTTCTTGTCTTCTTACCCACTCCTCCTAGCAACATTGTTGTCATCACGTATGCACAAAAAAGCTCCATGGCCCATTTCAATTTTGATTGATGCTACAATACCTCCCTTTGGTGCCTAAACTAGTATCATAAGCCATTTCAGATATTGCCTCTGCAATGTCCTACGATCTGTCCTTGTGAAGCCACCATATGTTTTTTTGATAGCCTTGAAAACTGTTTTATTCCACAAGTGAAGTAGTAAACCACAATCTAAATCCACACTCAATGTTTGCTGTGCCTTAGGCTTAAAGCAGCTTTCCGATGGCGACCACCAGTTCAAAAAAACCAACCTATTTTTTAAGACCTGCTGCTCCGAACAAAGAATACAAGCTGCTTCCTTGGAAGGGAAAATGAACTCATTATCTCATTGCACAAGGACCACTTCACCTTGAAATTTTCTAACCATAACCCACCGCATACCCCTACTCCTTGTCTTCGCCATCTTTGTACTACCACAACTTTCAAAAAGTTTTTCCTCTTTACCCTATCCATATTCCACACCATTCTGGGAACCCCCAAATCCTTAAAAATCTTCTCTATTTGCTCTCATCCTCGTGTCTCCGAAATAACCACTTCTTTCCTTCCATCCTCCCTCGCTATTGCCAAAATGATTTACCTCACCTCCACCAGCTGAATCCCCCACCTTTGTTGTCGTAAGAACCAAAATCCATCTTCTCCTACTGAAGCTTCCCAGAGCACAACACAAACTATCAGAGCCCCACTCCATTGAACAGCATAGCTCTCCTCAGATCCGTGCCTAAAACTAGTCATCGATTGCTCCTCCCACCTCAATGAGGTCAAGTGTCTTCAAAGCTTCAAGAATGATGATCCTGCACTCCACCATACCTCACCGGAGTTCCATCAGGGGTTAAAGATGAATCTTGGTACCCTAACCAAGGACCAAGATGAATCTAGTATATCCTAACCTTCGAATTCCTCTATACTAGAATGGCGACTTTTACTAATAGCTGCTTTTGTTGCTTTCGTCTTATCTACTTGGGAGTTGTGATATGTAAGATGATAACAATGATAATATGTTGATAGAGTACTTAAATAAATAAATAAAAAGGACAAAAAAAGTGATGCTATGTTAATAAAAATAAAACTTTTGCTTTAAAAAAAAAATTTTTTTGAAATGTATACTTTTATTCACTCAGAGAAGGTAACCTTAGGATGTCATTAATGTTGCCCCTTGCTTTTTCTTCCGTTGTGGTTTCTCTTTATTTTCTCTTTCATAAATGCTTGATTATATTTCTTCTTTTTTTGCAGGGGGAGGGGACACTGCTTGCAACAGGCTCGTATGATGGGCAAACTAGGATTTGGAGTTCTGAGGGACACTGCTTGCAACAGGCTCGTATGATGGGCAAACTAGGATTTGGAGTTCTGATGGTAATCTATTTTAGCAGGTTTTAATTGACAAGTTTTTCATTTCTTGCTTTAAAACCTTAAGCAGATTGTAAAAATATTATGCACAGATAACCGGTGAAGCTTCTATTCTATGTATCTTTTTTCTTGTTTCGTTGTGTACTCTCTTTAAAGTGCTAAAATTTTAAAAGTCAAAGATGCAATAAATGTAGTCTATATTAAGCCTCTGTCATAACCCTTATTGTGAGAAGACTTGGACAAAGTTATTTTACCTGTGCTTGCTGACTTGGTAGTCACTAGTCACTTACAATTCATTGGCATAGTATTTGAACAATTTCTAGTTGTATGTTATGATCAAATTCTAATGTTGATCTCACTGCTGCACAGTGATCTATCCCTGAGCTTTGTTGAGAAAGTTTATTGGAAGTCTAATTTCAATTTTTAGAGTAGGAGTTGACGGTTTTTTAGAGCTTCCAGCGTAATTAGCATTTAGCCCATAAAATGAAACAAAATGATGAAAATGAATAGATGTAATTAGCAAAACGAGAATCATGCTCTCGTGTTTCCATCAGGTGGCATTCCAAGGATGGCCCTAAGTATTAGAGTTAGTTAAAATGGGGTGTTTTACCGTGGTCAGCAGTCAATCTGCTCTTTGATGTTTATCATTGTTCACATAAGCAGACTGATTGGCAAAGTTGTTTGGGCCTTCAGCTTGTTCGTATTATGATGGAATAATTAATGAATGCTATGGGATCTTTGACAAAACCAAATTAGTTGACACATTATGGTGTTACACTTGCATTGGTGATAATAATTTCTTTTATTTCATGAACTTCATCAGTGATCATCATTGTGATGGCTGGAAGCTTAAGATAGGAACACTAGCCAGGACCTTTGAGTAACTAGGAGAGTGAAGAGGTGTGGGTACTCCATATTGTCATTCTTCTTTTGGCAGCAAGGAAGATCCTTGTAAGATAATAAAATATCTAGTATACATAAGCAAAGAAAGGAATAGAAAAATTGGAGGAAACGATGGGGATTTTTTTGTTAAGGATGCATATGGTATGGGATGGTCATTTTCTTTGTAATTCTTATCATATTGGTTGAAGTCACAAATTTGTAATGTAACCTGTCTTTATCTGGTCTTAACTTTTGAGAACTTTCACTTCTTTCTCCTGGTTTGTAATCTCTGTCTAGGCAAACTAAAGAGTACTTTAAGCAAACACAAGGGACCTGTATTCGCTTTGAAGTGGAACAAAAAGGAGGATTATCTTCTTACTGGAAGCTCTGACAAAAGTGCTATTGTGTGGGATGTGGAGGCCAAGGAATGCAAACAAAAATTTGAATTTCATTCAGGTGCTAGATTGTCAACCAAATGTTTATTTGCTAACCAATCATCTATGGTGTGACCAAACCCTGTACACCTCATTTTACAGGCCCAACACTTGATGTTGATTGGCGAAATAATGTTTCATTTGCAACAAGCTCCACAGATAATATGATCTACATTTGCGAGGTTGGAGAGACTTGTCCCATCAAAACTTTTTCTGGGCATCAGGTTCGTTCTTACAATAAACTGGTCATTACTTTAAATCAAATAAACTGGTCTTTGCTCTCAACATGCTACTCAAACTACAAATCTGTCCTGATGTGAACTAATGGATGATTCTTACTCTCCTATTGTCCTTCAAAAAAAATTCATTGCTGCTTATTCTATCCTGGCACTCAATTTAATTAAGTGGAGTATTCCCGACTCAAAACGCTTTAATACCAAGCAGTGCTGCACTCAGGTTAGTTAAGTCAAGAATTCTCCAACTCAAAAAACATCGATCCCAATTACTTGGGCCAAACTATATTCAAAGTGTTGCAGAGAGTATTTTACCCAAGGTTTTGCTTGCATTATTTTGTGTGTTTCAATATTAGTTGTGATAATGGTAGAAGGGTAATATGTGGATTGATTTCAAGCATTATAAGTTATATGAGAAACAAGATGTTGATAATTTACTTCTTGTATTACTTTATGAGACTTATAGTTGATCTTTGGTCTTGGTTTAATTTCAGAATGAAGTTAACTGTGTCAAATGGGACCCGACAGGTTCATTGCTGGCCTCTTGCTCTGATGATTGTACTGCAAAGGTGATTGATATTACCTTTTCCCTTACTAATTGTTTATCTGCTTCCTGAAGAGACACGACATTCTTGGTAACGCCTATTTTACTTGATATATTTGCCCATTTCGGAATATCCTGTTCTTGTTTATTGATTTCATACTGTGTATTCTGTGTTTGGTTTTTAGTCAATCCGACTTATGTTTTCATTTTCTTTTCATTTTTTTTCTTTGCTTCCCAATCTGTAGTGGTTTGCAACTGATTTGAAATAATGATGCAGATATGGAGTATGGATCAGGACAATTATGTTCATAATTTAAGGGAGCATGCTAAGGTATGACCAAGCGCTCTTGCCTGCCACCTCTCCACACCATATTAATATATGTACCTACTTAATTTGGGTTGTCCTACAAATGTAAATTATTTCTCAGGAGATATATACTGTCAGATGGAGTCCCTCTGGACCTGGCACTAATAACCCTAACCAGAAATTACTATTGGCAAGGTATACTGCATCCTGAAAATTACTCAGCGGATACATACTATTAGTGGTTTTTGCAATTGAGTATTGAGCTGCTTCTCTGTTAAGCCTAAGAGAGGATTTCAAAGTGATATTATGGTCTAAATGCATACTTTGGAAAACACTCCTTTTCTTGTCTTGTAAAATTCTGTGCTTTGGCCTTTCTTACAGTGCATCATTTGACTCAACAGTGAAGCTATGGGATATTGAGCTAGGAAGACTTATTTGCAGCTTGAATGGCCACAGGTGCGAAATATTATATCACTTTTTCATGTTTTATATTATAGAAAGAGTGCAAGTCACAATAATATCCATGATTAACAAGTTGGTGTCTTGGTCACATTCGTGGTGGTTGAATAAACCAATGTTCTGGTTTCGACTGGATCTACCTCAGCAGAATTTGATATCAATTTTTGGCATGACTGTTACTTATTTTGGTTGTGTAGAGATTAGAAGTTCTATGTACAGAATTAAAGGAAACATCTTGCTGTATATTTTTTTTGTGTCTATTAATGGTCATTAATTATATTGTAATTAGATGTTTTTTAATATCTTTATTATTACTCTTTCTTAATTCAGGCAATAATGGGTCGAAGTTGTTTATTTGAAGTATAGCCTTACGAGTTTTTTTAATGCCAATATTGGACAACATCCTCAATAATGTTTTTTATTTTAAGCATTTTGATACATTTGATTGAATTCAATTGAACTGTGCAATTCAGTATTCTATTGGTTTGTAGGTTTTTGTAATGAGTACTTAGTCATTTGTCCAAAATCCTATGAGATTTATCTGATATGCTCAAGAGTAATGAATTCCATTTTTTATTTGATGATTCTCACGTTCAGCCTTGGACAATTTGTCTACTTCTACTGGTCAAATATTCTTGATGTTAACTCTCTCTCTCTCTCTCATATTATGTTATTGATGGTAATAATATGACTAATTGTTTTGTACTTGCTAAATTAATGAATGTATTTCAATTGCCAGGGCGCCTGTGTACACGATTGATTTTAGCCCTAATGGCAAGTATTTGGCAAGTGGATCTCTCGATAATTCATTGAACATTTGGTCTGTAAAAGAAGGGAAGATCGTGAAAACCTGTACTAGAAGTGGGGGTATATTTGAAGCCTGCTGGAATAAGGAAGGTGACAAGATAGCTGCCTGCTCTGCTGACAACACAGTGTGTGCCATAGATTTTAGAATGTAGGGGCTTAGAAATTTCCTTATAACATTGCAACTGGGACTTTACTCTTTTTGTGCTGCGCCAGGAAGCCAATTTACATTTTTCTCTTGTGAATCCTGCATTAGAGATAGAAAAGAAGAGCGAAAGTAGGTAACTGGGAGGCTTGCATTTCGACTATTTTGGTAGGTATGTAGTTTGTTTTGTACATATTTTATTTCAATTGAAATGGTGACTTTAGAATAGAAGACTCTTCATTCACTATATTGTTTTTCAATAATTTTATGATAATCATATTCTTTTTTACCATCCATATGTTATAACATACATGGGTGGTAGAACTCACTAAATTAATGAGGTTGTGACACACGGTAAATAAATTAGGATCACTATAACATTATTGTTTTTGTATTTTCTGTATTTTTTTTAATAGATCTTCTATTGTCTTGTATTCTCTATTATGTTCATTTGAATCTTATTAGGTCATGGGATCGCCTTTTATTGATATAGATTACCCAATGCATGGTAAATGTTGTGTACTGGTGATATCGTCAATCAATCCCAAATATTTTGCTCTTATGGTGTATCTCTCAAACACCCAATATAAATGTCTTTCTTTTTTTATTATTTTATTATTTTTATAATTTATAATTTATTTTTTTTCCCATAGTTGGAATACTTAAAGGTGTACTTGTTGAGTGTTGTGGGTATGCCAGTGTGGGGCAAAGCAAGCTCCCTTATGGAGCCAAGGAGCGTAAAGAAGGGAGGAAACTTTGGAAGTTCCTGTGTCGTTTGTTATAATAGAGCCCTCTTTATTTACTCATAACATGTATCTCGTGATTTCATTTAGCTTTGGTCCACCAGCTTTTTATTAAAAAAACAATGGTGAAAAAACATTGGATTATATGAATATATATATATTTCTTGTTTTTGGTTATATCATGGAGGTCACATTTTCCATTTATACATTGTTTTTATGCTAGTTTTAAAAGAGAATAATTGTTAATGCTTTTTTTTTTTTTTTTTTTTTGGGGGGGGGGGGGGGGATGGGAGGGGGGGGGAGGGGATGGGGCTAATGCTTCTTATCATGGTGAAACATCGTGATATGAAAATTTCTCCGGTATGCAATGCACATCATATATAATCTTATCACAAAATTACGTAATTTTTTTATAAATTTACCTAAATAATCACACAAAAATTCATAAGTTTAACACAATTTTCATGAACTTACAAAAATTTATATTCAACTTATATATTTTTATAAAATCCCTTATATAAATTTGTGAAAATTTTCGTAATTTTGTGATAAAATTGCATAAGATATACAATACACACTAAAACATTTCTCATATACAAAATATGAGAAATTTTCCAGATATCACTCGTTTGGTTTCACTGGAAGATAATCCATTTTTACCTCTTATCAATATCTAATTCAAAGATATGCTTAGAAGACCCAATCCACCTTTTAAACACATAGAAACCCCTCAATCATCTCCTCGTTAAAAGCCATGATATGCACAAAGCAAGCAAGAAAATGATGCGCATGTTACGCGGGTCCTCCTCAATCTTCAAGCTTTTTGTCTACTTCTCTCCCAACGTCTTTTGACCACCCTCTTTTTGTTGAAACTCTTCTACCAAAATCAATCTCTCTCTCTCTCTCTCTCTCTCTCTCTTGGTTATAATTATACATTCCAAAATAACATTTGAATTACCACACATAACACTATTGCTACATATTTAAAATAAAATAAAAAACCATTATTTAAAATTTTATCCACAATCCCAATATGTAATCATGATTTATTCATCAAAAATTTCAACCCACTAGACTTGAATAAAAATAGGGACCAACTTGATGAGGAGGCTTGCCGCACCTTCATCGAATCACAAACTCGCAAACACTTTTACTTTGTAACTAACTTTTGTTACAAGATTATATCTAAACAGTAGTTTTTTTTTTTTTTTTTTTTTCAGTGAGAAAGTATGAGGCTTAAACAGTTGACGGCCAAGAACACACTAATTTTAAATCAACCTCTTATACTATACTTTAATGGTAAAATTTTGAGTAAATTTATATAGTACCAATTATTCAATTCCTAAAAATCATAATAGATATAAAAAAAAGAAAATGACAAATAAGTCTGATTCATCGGTGATGATATTGCACCGTTCGTTACCTTGAATTTTTTTTTTTTTTTGTCTTCCTTCCAGTATAGTAGGAACTGTACTCGTTCTCAACTCAGCTTCAAACCCACCAGGACTTGACTCAGAATTAATCACTACTCGATCAAGTATAGTTCATTATATCCATATCTCTCTGTACTGAACTAATTTCTTTTTTGGTGTTCACCATTTCGTTCCACTCCTTTGCTGCTTGAAGCGCTTCAAAACCCCATCAATGGCGATATCAAAAGCATCTCTAATATTCTCCAAACCCTCACTGGGCTTCGCATACACAAACTTGGGTATAAGCTCTATCACCTTCTCTCTCATCTTCCTCACCTCCTCTCTACTGTACTGCTCCAGCACTTTCTTTATCGACAACCCATTCCTCACATGGCGACGGTCGATAAAAACCGAGTAACTCTCCGGTTCACCCGGCAAGAACCACTCGTACTGGTCGTAAGCGGTCCGGAACCAGAAAAAAACCGGGATCGAACCGGCGAGCATGCAATCGAACACGGACCTCCTCGTGTAGCTGTCTCCTCTCGGCTGCAAACAGAAGTCCGAGCCGAGAAACGTTTCCAGGCTCGGCGTCCGGCCCACGGCGCACTCGGTCTTACCACAGTCGATGAGTCTGCACGAGTCCGACTCGTTCCCGCACTGGTTCAGTAACAGCGCTCTGAAGTCGTTCTTGAAGTCGGCTCGAGCGCCGCCGACGAAGCAGAAGAGGCTGGACCGGTTCTGGTTCCGGACGAAGCTCTGCCACTCGACGACGTCGGAGTCGGTTCTAGGGTGGAATCCAGTGGGGTAAGGTACACCGACATCGTAATAGTCCCTGGGAGCTCGCTCAATCACGAAGCGAGTGACGTTTCTCATCCCCGCCATGTTGATGAAGCTGGATCCCCAATCGATCTCCGGCTGATCTAACCGCCGGAAATCCCATGTGATGCGACCCAGCGTGATGAAGTGATCAGAACCCTTGGATCTCCTCCAAAACCGTTGATTCTGGACCCAATTCAACAACATCTCGCAATCACGGTCCCTCATAGTATGATTATGCCACAAGTATTTCCCGACTGCGAGTCCAGCGTAAAAAGGGATATAGAACGCGGCAGCCGATTCTGGCTCCAGCGTTCTACACTTGTAATTCAAAAGCCGATTGTGAAACAGCATCTCCGAGGCGAACTGGTTGGTCCAGAACATCGCCGAAGCAAGATTTTCCGGGACAATTCCGGCGAGCTCGGTGGCTCTGGGGCCAAACCCATCATTAGAAACGGCGCCGCATCGCCAGTGCCAGGGGTCGGAGTCGTTGCAAGTGTGGACTAGGTCTCTGTTGAACCTTGGTGGGAGGTCGTAGACGTAGATTGTGCCGGAGGGGCATTGTGTTTGTGTGGAGGAGTGGTATGTTGTGGTTTTGGAAGGAGGTAAGAGTTGCTGGAGAAAGAAGGGTATAGGGAGAGTACGGGTGATTACAAGGATGAGGAATTGGATTGAGAGAATTGAAATGAAGATCCATTTACAAGGGTATAGAGAACAGTGGGATTTGATTGAGTTGAGAGTGTTGTTGTTGAGTTCGTGTTTTTTGGGTTTTTTAGGGGATGACTGGCCGGAGATGGGAAGCATCATACTGTAAAAGGGAGCACTATGTGAGAGTGAGTGAGAGAGAGGTCGTACCGTGTGTGCTGGTTTCTCGCTTGGGCGTTTATAGCTGAACGGAAAGTGACACAGTTTACGGTACGGTTGGAGCAAACTTATATAAGCCTCATTTGGGTTGTTTATTTTGGTTAAAATAATTATATTGGGTAAAATATGTTATTTTAGTTAAATATAATAAAATATTTATATTTAATTTATAATTATTTTATTTTATTTTTTTATAAAAATTAAAAAAATTAAAAAATTTATCGTAAATGAAACTTTTTAACCCTAAATTAAAATAGTTAAAAAGTCAATTTACATCCTAAACGAATTCATAATGAATTGAATAATGTTAGAAATATCAAATTTTTTATCAAATAAATAATCAAATATCTCACATGAATATAAGGTCTACACCTATATAAAATATTTAATCGTTTATTTCATAAAAAATTTAAAACTTACAACATTTTCTTAATAGATTTAACTTGTCTATGTTAAAGTGGATCAAATAGGTAAAATTTTGAAAAGAGTTATTAAATTGAAAACTTTTATAATAAAAATATGCTTCGGTAATGACTTTCAACTATTAAAGATAAGTCATTCCTTTATATAGGGGGAGTTTAGTAAGGGGGTGTTTAGTAGGGTTTATAAATTATTTATTGTAATTTTTAACTTAATTTAAGTTAAAATATTGTGTTTGGTAGAACTTAACTCATCATATTATGGTTTAAATTAAGTAGAAAAAAAGCTTTTTTTTGAAGTGACTAAAGGGGTGCTTTGGAGATTATAGCTTAAGCGGGAAGTTGGTTTGGAGGGGCAAATTTACTTAAATGCCCCTCATCAAATTCCGGAATTACCAAATATCCCGTATATAAATCGCATTCTTACGCTGTTCACTCCGAGAGAGAGAGAGAGAGAGAGGGAGAGAGAGTGGCGATTTTCGACGAGAGTGGTGATTTTCAGCGAGTGTGGGGATTTCCGACGAGGGTTACGGTTTTTGACGTTTCTGGTATCCAAATACCACGTCTCTTCTCTCTCTCTCTCTCTCTTGATCGACCTTTCACCATCGCTTTCACAATTGAGGGACAAAACCCTAACCGTCGCGATTGATCTCAAACCCTATAGTCGAAACCCTAGTGTCGCTGGTGACATCTGAAACCCTAGCACGATTAATCTCAAACCCTAACACAATCTGAAACCCTAGCGTGACCAATCTCAAACCCTAGCATGATCTGAAACCCTAGTACGATCAATCTCAAAACCTACATCCGCCGGTGACGATCTAAAACCCTAGCACGATTGATCTCTTCTCTCTCTTCTGCGATTGCTTTCTTCGCGATCTCTTCTCTAATGGAGAAGAAATCTCTCAACAGTTCTCTCTCTGCTCTCTTAACGGCTTTCTCTCTCTCTCTAGATCAATCTCAAACCCTAGTGCCGGTTTATCGCCGCTGTGCTTGTCGGCGGGTTTTCAATTTTTTTTTTATTTTTTATGGGGAGGTTTTCTGTGTTTTTTTTAATAAAAAAAAATAATTGATGTTTGTTAAGCCATTAATTCACACTAATTAATTTATAATGAAATAATTTTATACTAATTGATCATATTAATAATTTTAGTATTAATTGATGCTAATTAAGCCATTAATTGACACTAATTAATTTATAATGAAAAAATAAAAAAAGTTATACTAATTGATACTGACATGGGTGGGCCCATAAAGGATATGACCCATCACTAAAGGCCCAATCCATGATTCAAATACTAAAGCCCAACATTCTCGGAACCTAACGTTACACCAAGCACCAAGCACCAATGATATCTAAACACTTGGCAAGTGAAGAACCAGCCACATCAGCAGACAAAGATCTTGTAGAGTTATTGCACCACACATCATCCATTAATGAGTTTTCCTGCAACATTTATTACGATAACCCTTCACGTCGGAACAGAACAGCCTCACCACGAACAAGGCAAGCTAAAACATAGACTTTCGGCCAACATGACAGCTCGGAGTGGACAAGGAAATGATGAGTAAAGGATATATGCAGGCTTCTAAGACAAAGAAAGGGTTAAGTTCTCTACCATCATTCTCACTTCTCTAACTTGCTTGTCGGAGGGTTCGCTGGGGGACTCTCCGTTCCCTGTTGAACTCTTGTGCAGGTTTCTCTTTGGGCTCGGCAATCGGCCAACGATTTGGGAAGCATGGATCAACCCGACCCGTTCCATTTAGAGCTCGCAATATCATCAGTTGGCGCCGTCTATGGGAACGTTTTTGCTCCGTGTGGCAACTGTGCTCGTTGTCACCGGAGACCCATTCCTGATAATCCCTACCTGCCACCCACCGAGGTGGATGGTCACAACTAGATCCATGGTTTCTCAACACAATGTTACCGACCTCCAAGCCGACCCTCCTAACCCAAACAACCCACCACAGTATTTCACAGAACTCACCAATAGCATTAACCACTTAGTCGAACAAAACCAAGCCCTGATCAATGCTTTGCTTCAAAGAGACCTTCCCATGCCTCCTCCACCACCACCTCAAATTATCCCACTCATCCGAGAACGAGCCCTGAGCCATCCCATCCAACAATCCCACCCATCCAACTTGCAAGGCTTGCGACCTCCTCCCCAAGATATGAACTCGCCACCTCGGGCCCCACATCCGTCGGTTCAAACACCTGTTCCCGAGGGAGAGGCTAGTAGTGTCCAGCCTCCATTGCATTCCGGTAGTGACAACTTTCCTCTTTGGGATGCAGAACCCCGAGCCATGAAACTCCAGCTCTAAGGGGTCATGCAGAACATACAGAATAAACCTTCCACCACAGCTAACTCACCATTCGTTGCCTCTATTAGGGATAAGCCTCTACCTCCTAAGTTCAAAATGCCCTCGATCGACTCTTTCGACGGTACAACGGACCCAGTCGACCACTTGGAGACTTACAGGACCCTCATGGTCCTCCATGCATTCCCCGATAAGATCATGTGTCGGGCTTTCCCCGTAACACTTAAGGGGTCGGCTCAACTGTGGTTTAGTCAGCTGCTGACAGACTCTGTCTCTACTTTTCAACACCTAAGTGACTCCTTTCTCAGCCACTTCATTGGTGCCCAACGCCAGCGACGTCCGGCAACTCAACTCCTCAACATCCGCTAGTCGGAGGGGGAGTCACTGCGCAGCTTCGTCATCCGCTTCAACACCGAAGCCTTATAGGTGGCAAAAAACGATGACAAGGTCATTCTCACGGCTTTCATGGCCGGTCTATGATCATCCGATTTCCTTTTCTCCCTCTCCAAAAACCCTCCAACCTCCATGGCAACCCACTGTAACACGTCCGCGAGGGACCCCACTACAGTTCAGACTCGATTTGTGTCACGGTTCTTAATCTGAACCAAAGAGTCCAAATTCGACAAATCGTTTTGAGAAACAGATTTTGAAAAGAAGTGCCAAACATGGACTGCTTTACCAGATACAGAGTCGCCACCTAAATGTTTATTTTTTGAGAGAATTTAGGAAACCCTGACTCGGTACCAAAGGCCACGTGTCCGTCATCACCAAAGTTGCCTCGGCTCGGGAGCTTGGGTACAATTGGGGAAGGTCAGCTATGAGCACCCCCTCTCACCTGATCCGAAGATCGGTCTCTACTAACCATGATATCCAGTTTTGAAAACGTTATGTGTTCTTATTCCGGTTATTAGCCTAGAATCACTACGTTATGCGCACAGCAAATAAGTATAGACCAAATCGCCTAAATTGGAACAAAATATAGCATGTTTGTTTTGAAAATGGTTTGCTACTCGCAAGTAGGCTAAAATGCAGGTTTTGCCACCCTCGAGTGGGCTTTTAGAAAAGATGGTTTTGCACGATCTAGTGGGCTTAAAACAGTTTTAGTGCATTATTCCAATTTAGGTAATTCAACCTCCACCCACAGGCATTCAAGCAGTTATATCACATAAGCATATAGCCTCATGGTAAGCATGCTTTTATGGCAGTCACTCACACACATGCAAGGATGCTAAAGCATAAAACTCACCGAGTACTCCAAGCCAAACAGAAGCTAATTAGAAATCCATGCATGATCCTAGTTCATGTTAAAAATGGCTAATGCAACACATGCAAAGATGCAATCTAAACAGGCTCGGCTATCCTAAAGATGGCATGTGAAATGCTGCAACTAACAAGTTCTTAACTTGGAATTGAAATACAAGTGCAGTTAGCATGACGTGCCGAGCCCGGTGCATGTAGGACAAATGTATGGATGCACGCATGCATAGCATAAGGTATGCTAAATTAAATGTGCCCTAATACTAACCATCAAAAGTAGGTAAGTAAAAGAGAGAAAGAAGTGGGGATTGGAAGACATGCACACACGCACCCACACTTATTACAAATACGCCCTCACTTGGAGGGACCGAATAAATATTACAGTCCAAATAAATAACTAACTACTTAATTAATTATTACAGAATTCCTATTTAACTAACAAATTAAATGCAAAGGGAAGGTGGCCACGGCCCCTGCCTTGGGATGCGTGAATGATGCATGCTTGACCCATATTGCCTGGAAACTCGCTGCCATAGCACTGTTGCTTCTGTTTTTCACTGCCCTACTCCTCTGAGGACTGCCAAAGTCTAAGGGCATGCTCTCTGGATGTTGGGGAATACCACCGGCTGGGAGGGATGGCCACCGGCCATGGGAAATGGTCATCGGCCGCTGATGAAGTTATCGGCCATTTATGGATTGCTGGTCGGCACTGTATTTAACCGACCGGCCAAATCTTCCTGCAAAACCTGCAATTGGCAGCAGCAGAGGGCAAGCAGTGTATGGCATGAAATTTTTAGGCAAATATATGCATGGACACACTCCCTATCATGTAATGGACTCAAGGGAGCATGGTCCTCGACCCTCGGGCCACCTATCACGCATTTCGATGCATGATGGCCAAAGAGTCAAGTATGCATTTCAATGTCAAATGCAATGCACACAAAACATACAAGGGACCCAACCTCAATCATGGTTGGCTATTTTCAGTTCTGAAAATCGCCCAAAAAATGCGACTTAAGCATGCAAGCAAACATACAAACATGCAATATA